CCCGGCACGTGCCTGCGCCCGTCCTGAGTCTAAGCCACCAGGTCTGGGACGCGAACCGCGGTCAACTACGTGGGAGTCCAACGACATAGCCATTACACTAGCTGCGGGTCCCCCGGCATGGTTTTCAAGCCACTGGGACCAGGATTCAAATCGCAGTCAGCCCTATGGGATCCAGTTCCCGCTCTGCTACACTGATCCACTACTCTACAGGCCAGCTCCAGCTTGAGAAGTTTCTGTGGGCCTCACTGATTCTTTGCTTGGCCGTATCCTAATTGCCCTGTTATTGCTTCTTTTTGACCAGTTGTTTATTTAGGATTGTGTTGTTCAATTTCCACATATTTGTGAATACACCAAATTTCTTTCTTTATTCATTTTTTATTCCATCGTGGGTGGAGAAGATGTGTGTTCATTCCTTACCTCCAAATATATCATGAATTGTGGTACCACAAATGGTGTGACGGTTATGTCGCTGGACTCCCACGTAGTTGAGCATGGTTTGAGTCCTGGACCCAGCAGCTCATGCCGGGCCATGTGCATATGTGCCCAAGATCCGGAGAGGGGAATAGAGAAGGAATTGCGGTGTGGCCATCCCCCCGGGGGTGATTTCTCACTTTTGGTCTCTCTGGTGAGCGCACGCACCCTATAATAAAAATCTCTCTTAAAAAAAAAAATAATAGGGGTGTGTATGTGTGTGCGCGCACACACACACACCACGAATTGTTTCATGGCCTGAGTGGTATCTCTCAGAGCATGGTCCATGTGCACTTTAGAAAACTACGTATTCTGCGCTATTTGGTGGAATGTTCTGGAAGTGTCTGTTAAATCTCGTTGGTTTATATTTCTTTGATAATATTCTGCTTGCTCTTTCTGTCTATTATTAAAAGTTGGGAATTGAATTCTTTAACTATTATTATTGAATTTTCTAGAGCTCTTCAGTTCTGTCAGTTTTTGCTGTATATATTTTAGGGTTCTGTTGTTAGGTGCATATGTTTTTAATTGTTATATCTTTCTGACAAGTTGAACCTTTCTCATGTTAAAATGTTCTTTTTCCCTTCTAGTACCTTTCTGTTGTGTGAAAGTCTGTTTTGTCTGATGTCCGTGCTGCCGCTCCAGCTTTCCTGGCATGCCATTCCTGTACTTTTACTTTCAACCTCGTATCTTTGACATTTAAATATGTCTTCTGTAAATAGCATATAGTTGGATCTGTTTATTTAATCCAATCCAACAAAGTCTCTATCTCTTGATTGGATTATTCAAGCCCTCACATGAAATGTTCCTGAAATAGTTGGGTTTGCATATACATTTTACTTTTCTTTGCTTTCTTGAGTCCTGTTAAGGTTGTTTAGTCTGTTTTATTGATAGCAGAAATACCTGGGTCTGGGTAGTTTCAGAACAGTGGCTCATTTAGTTCATGGTTTTGGAGGCCCAGGGTCAAGAGGCGCTTGCCAGACAGACAGAAAGACAGAAAACAAGAAATCATCCCCAGGGGGGATGGCCACGCCACAACCCCTTCTCCTCCATTCTCCTCTCGGGATCTTGGGCACGCACGCACACGCGCCTGGCATGAGTTTAAGCCACCAGGTCTGGGACGCGAACCGCGGTCAACTACGTGGGAGTCCAACGACATAGCCATTACACTAGCTGCTGGTCCCCCGGCATGGTTTTCAAGCCACTGGGACCAGGATTCAAATCGCAGTCAGCCCTATGGGATCCAGTTCCCGCTCTGCTACACTGATCCACTACTCTACAGGCCAGCTCCAGCTTGAGAAGTTTCTGTGGGCCTCACTGATTCTTTGCTTGGCCGTATCCTAATTGCCCTGTTATTGCTTCTTTTTGACCAGTTGTTTATTTAGGATTGTGTTGTTCAATTTCCACATATTTGTGAATACACCAAATTTCTTTCTTTATTCATTTTTTATTCCATCGTGGGTGGAGAAGATGTGTGTTCATTCCTTACCTCCAAATATATCATGAATTGTGGTACCACAAATGGTGTGACGGTTATGTCGCTGGACTCCCACGTAGTTGAGCATGGTTTGAGTCCTGGACCCAGCAGCTCATGCCGGGCCATGTGCATATGTGCCCAAGATCCGGAGAGGGGAATAGAGAAGGAATTGCGGTGTGGCCATCCCCCCGGGGGTGATTTCTCACTTTTGGTCTCTCTGGTGAGCGCACGCACCCTATAATAAAAATCTCTCTTAAAAAAAAAAATAATAGGGGTGTGTATGTGTGTGCGCGCACACACACACACCACGAATTGTTTCATGGCCTGAGTGGTATCTCTCAGAGCATGGTCCATGTGCACTTTAGAAAACTACGTATTCTGCGCTATTTGGTGGAATGTTCTGGAAGTGTCTGTTAAATCTCGTTGGTTTATATTTCTTTGATAATATTCTGCTTGCTCTTTCTGTCTATTATTAAAAGTTGGGAATTGAATTCTTTAACTATTATTATTGAATTTTCTAGAGCTCTTCAGTTCTGTCAGTTTTTGCTGTATATATTTTAGGGTTCTGTTGTTAGATGCATATGTTTTTAATTGTTATATCTTTCTGACAAGTTGAACCTTTCTCATGTTAAAATGTTCTTTTTCCCTTCTAGTACCTTTCTGTTGTGTGAAAGTCTGTTTTGTCTGATGTCCGTGCTGCCGCTCCAGCTTTCCTGGCATGCCATTCCTGTACTTTTACTTTCAACCTCGTATCTTTGACATTTAAATATGTCTTCTGTAAATAGCATATAGTTGGATCTGTTTATTTAATCCAATCCAACAAAGTCTCTATCTCTTGATTGGATTATTCAAGCCCTCACATGAAATGTTCCTGAAATAGTTGGGTTTGCATATACATTTTACTTTTCTTTGCTTTCTTGAGTCCTGTTAAGGTTGTTTAGTCTGTTTTATTGATAGCAGAAATACCTGGGTCTGGGTAGTTTCAGAAGAACAGTGGCTCATTTAGTTCATGGTTTTGGAGGCCCAGGGTCAAGAGGCCACATTGGGTGTGTCTTTTTGAGGACTCTGCAGCTCCCAGATGGCACAGTGCATTACACAACGGAGCAGAGCATGCGTCCATGTCTGCCCCTGTGCCTATCCTGGGCTCTCCCGCTTCTTATGAAGCTATCGTGAGTGCCCTGACCCCGTGACTTCATCTAATCTCAGCCACCTCCCAGAAGACCCCACCTTTCAGCATCATAATTGGAATAAATCTTCATCCTCTCAGTGTCATTACAGTGCATCACCTAATTTGCACACATGAGTTCCAGGGGGACATCATTCCAGCACAGGGAACTAGAATGTTTTGTGAACTTTCTGTTGTAGCTCCTGCAGGAACCTGTGGTGGTGTGCTGGCCCCTCCTACAGGAGCAGCAGCAAGTTCTAGGGCTGTCCTCTTCACTGTGGGGTCTCCTCCGCACAGTGCCGTGGCCCCCACGTGTACCCATGTGGTCCTTCGAACAAGAACAACCTCTGGTGAGGAATGTGCGTCATGTTACAGTCTCCAGCTAATGTTTGCAGCCTGTGGTCTGATAATGACTGGGTGTTGGAATTCACTCAAGTTACTGAGTGTCTCTGGCTTCAGTTTCTTAGCCAGTGAAATGAAGAAAACATTCTGTTACCTTTAAGGGTTATAAGGACTAGATGAGTCAATATTTGTATGGGGGGACCTTGTTACGTGAAAGTCCTATTACATATGTTAAACTATTACAAATAGGTGCCAGCAGGTGGCGTGGTGTGTAAGGCATGACATACCACTTCCTGTACTTTCACTTTCATCATAGTTGAATGTGCAAGGCTGACCATGGTTCAAGTCCTGGCCCCAGCAGCTTGAAAATCATACCAGGTGCACGTGTGTGCACCCAAAATCTTGAGAAGAGAATGGCAGAGAAGGAATCGTGGTTTGGCCATCCTCCCTGGGGGGTGATTTCTCACTTTTCCCTCTCTGTCTCTCTCTGGTGAGCACATACACCCTATGGCAAAAACCTTTTTAAAAAAATTACAGTATGTTTATTTTCAGTATATAGTATAAAATATAAATGTGATTTCTCTATGAAGCAGCTACTCCTATATAGTGCTTCTCGGTTTATAGATTGAATGCCTATTTTAGTAGATCAGATAAATTTGAAAAGGATAGACTATTGTTTTTGTTCCTTTTTATAAAACTTGCTTTGCTTTTTTGCATTAATTGTTTTATACCTTGGTTCTCAGTCTTTGCACTTATTTCTATATATATTTAGGTGGGTTTCATCATTATAGTGATGTCTGTAAAATGCACATTTGGATAAGGGATAAGCGAACATGGAAAATGAACTGTTTCTAGGGCAGGAGCTCAGCAGCTGTTAACATCCCTGTGTTGCCTTGATAGGTTTTATTCAGTTAGTGAGAGTGGGGGAAGCAGAGGCCCTGACACGGGCCTGACCCTCAGCTCCACACTGTCCTCTGTCTCTGCAGTGGGATCCAGCAGCTCAGGAGGCTCCCTGTGCTCTGCCAGTGGCCGCGTGTGTGTGGGCTCCCCACCTGGGCCGTGCTCGGGCTCTTCCCCGCCAGGAGCGGAGGCAGCTTCTGGCCTGAGATACGTGCCTTACGGTGCTTCACCCCCAAGCCTAGAGGGGCTCATCACCTTCGAAGCCCCTGAACTGCCGGAGGAGACTCTGATGGAGGTACAGGAGAGACTAGTGGCATGTTAATGCAGTGTCAATACAGTGTGGGAATGTTCTATGATTGAGAGGAAGAGCAAGGAGTTCAGAAATGTTGCTAATTTTAACTTCTTCTTTTCTATTTGGGAAATATTGTTGATGTATTTTCAGATAATATTTTCTTTTTTGCGTTTTACACTTTTTTTTTTTAAGGTTTTTGCCTTAGGGCATGTGCACTTGCTGGGGAGAGATAGTGAGAGGGAAAGTGAGAAATCATCCCCCTGGGAGGATGGTCACACCATAGTCCCTTCTCCTCCGTTCTCCTCCCGGGATTTTGGGCACACGCATGCCCAGTGTGGTTTTTAAGCCGCTGGATCTGGGGCTCCAATTGTGGTTGGCCATGTGGTAGTCTAGCATCTTAAGGACTCTGCCACCTGCTGGCCCCAATACATTATTTAAATAAATATTTTTAGAACTTTTTTTTAAAAAAAACTCTTAACAATTAAAAGAGTCTTTAGTTTAAAAAACAAAACAAGGGACCAGCAGTTAGTGTAATGGCTATGTCACTGAACTCCCATGTAGCTGACTGTGGTTCAAGTCCCAGACCTGGTGGCTTAAAACTCAAGCCGGGCACGTGTGCGTGCGTGCCCAAGATCCCGAGGGGAGAATGGAGGAGAAGGGATTGCGGCATGGCCATCCCCCCCGGGGGGGTGATTTCTCGCTTTCTGTCTCTCTGTCTGTCTCTGTCTGTCTGTCTGGTGAGCGCACATGCCCTATAGCAAAAACCTCTCAAAAAAACAAACAAACAGACAAACAACATAATACTTGATTTCTCTGAAAAAAATTTTTTTAAGGATTGTTTAGTTTTGGGACCAGCAGTTAGTGTAATGGCTATGTCACTGAACTCCCATGTAGCTGACTGTGGTTCAAGTCCCAGACCTGGTGGCTTAAACTCACGCCGGGCGTGCATGCATGTGTGCCCAAGATCCCGAGAGGAGAAGGGATTGCAGCATAGCCATTCCCCCTGGGGGGTGATTTCTCACTTTCTATCTCTCTGTCTCTCTGTCTTTCTGGCAAGTGTATGTGCCCTATAGCAAAAACCTTTCCCAAAAAAAGATAGAATAAGAATTTTTTAGTTTTATTTATTGTTGTTTTAATTTCTATAGGGCACGTGTGAGAGAGGGAGAGAGAGACAAAAAAAAGAGAAAGCAAGCCGCCAAGTCCAGGACTCAAACCTTGATCAACCGTGGGGGAGTCCAGTGCCCTAACCACCATGTCACCTGCCGGCCCCTGGAAAAATAATTTAATGTTTTTTAAAATTCTGATTTCTGTTGTACATGTACTCTGTGTGTATCTTGGTAGGGTATATGGTATTTTTTTTCTTAAAGTGTGCATACAGTGTATAATAATCAAGTCGAAGATATGCACATCTCCATCCCCTCCACAGTATGTCCTGCACCTTTGATAAGGGTTTCACCAGTTCGTTGTTACTTTTTTGAAGTACCTGATTTGTTCTCCATATTCAGTCTGCTGTGGTTTCCCATCCCACAGACTCTCCTTACTCAGAGGCATTCTCGTGTCCAGTGAAAGTGTTCTCACGAACCCCCACCCACTCAGAATAACACTGACGGTGACACTCGTCCATAACAAGCTTTGGTTCATAGGAAGGAACACACACTGATTGTGTGTTCTTAATGTTTTGTTCAGTTTGTTTATTTCTTACAGGGTTTTTAATAACAATCTTTGTCCTAAGAATATAGCTTTTTATTCCCAAGGTTTTTTTAAAAAACAAGATAAAAATAATACTCTTAAAACATAGGTTTAAAAAAAGATAAGGTGGCCGGTTCCCACATGGCAGATTGTGTGGTTTGAGCCCCAGACCCAGTGGCTTGAGAAACTCCCCATCCGCATGTGTGTATGCCCAAAATCCTGAAAGCAGGAGAGGTGGAGGTGAAGGGATTGCAGCATGGCTGTCCTCATAGGAGGTGCTCTCTCACTTTCCTTCTCTCTGTTTCTCTCCAAAAAGCACACATTCCCTCCATTGGAAAAAAAAAAAAAAGACTGAAGTATCAGCTGCTCAGTAGTAGTAGTAGTAATAACAGCCAGCCATGCCGCCGTATCGGCTCACCGTAGGGACTGCACCTGCCGAGTGCACGGAAAGCTCCTGTTTGTGGAGGGCACTGTCTCCCCGGGGAACGTACACTGTGTGCAATCACGTCCTGAACAGAGGCAGGTTAGCTTTATGGTTTCCAGGGTATGCTGCTCAGTCCCCCCGTGTCCAGGAGCATGTCCTCAGGCACTGGGTACGGTGCTGACTTAGCCCAGGGTTCACATGAGAGTGGCCAACTCTGTAGGCTAATCACAGAACAGATTCTTGTCCTACGTGGGGCCTCTAACATTTCTGTTTCATGTGACTTTTAATCTTACTGGAAACTTCAGAACACATTATAACTGAAATCCCAAAACAACATACATTTTCAGAATACCCATTTTTTCCTTTTGTGTATGTGTAGTATTTACATTTAATCATAATACGTCTCCATAGTATACAATACAAATACAAGGTATATCAGTCAAGACAAGACGTTGCCGTACACAGTATCACCAGCAAATAATTTTCCACTTTGTGTCAGTTAGGCATATTGTTTGTTTTTTTCCCTGTTCTCCTCCCTCCCTCCCCCTGTTACCCACTCCCAGTTATTCCTCCCTTACTATCTCTGGTATCTACAGTTACCGTCCCTGCTGTTAAACCTCCCGTCTTTCAGTTTTTGCTGTAGAGCGCAGATCTTCGGTATATATTGAGCGGTATATGCAAAATCTGCCTCTCATACTCTGGCTTGCTTGGCTCAGCATTAAGTCTTCCAATACCCATTTTTAAGTGACACCCCCCACCCCCCAGAGCGCTGTTATGTCTCCGCATACTTTCCTCTTTAACCAACTGAAAAAGAAATAGGTATTTAGAGCTTTGGTATTAGGAATCACTATTAACTGGAGGGAAAAAGAAAGAAAGAAAAGAAACCAGTAGTTAAAGCATCTTTGAAATGGTAAGAAGTCAGTAGAACTCACTACACTCTAGTGTGACTTAGCGTGCAGAATATTCTTACAGACTAGATACCTGTTCTGTCATGGTTCTGTCTCATGTATATTGACTTAGTCATTTTATTTTTTTCTGGTAAAAAAGCTCAGTGGCCTCCTCCTCGTGAAGCTTACTAGTGGGTACTCTGATTTGTACGTGCAAACACACACACATCCACATGTGGCTTCACTTGTCTGTTTTGTTACCAGCCTTCTGAAGGTTAAAAGCTCATGCCCTCTGACTGTTTCGCTGTTGCCTAAGTAGAGTAGACCTTTAGAAGTGGCCGTGGTCTGCGTGCAGACAGGAGTAGGTGCCTCTTCCTAACCGCGAGTCTAAGACAAGCTGGCTTTGCCGCAGCGAGAGCACACCGACACCTTGCGCCACCTGAACGTGATGCTGCTGTTCACCGAGTGTGTGCTGGACCTGACGGCCGTGCGTGGAGGGAACCCTGAGCTGTGCAGCGCCGCCGCGTCCTTGTACCAGATTCAGGAGAGCGTGGTGGTGGACCAGATCAGCCAGCTGAGCAAAGACTGGGGGTAGGTGCCTGGCCCCTCCGTTTCCAGGTTCTCCGTGCTTTCTGAACCCACGTCTCAGTCACAGGCGTACCATCCTCAGAGGTTCAAATCTCACCATGGAAAGAGCTTCAGGGGGGTTCAGGGGAGCCAGGTCCCACACGGCACTGTGGTCCAAGTCCTGGCCATAGTGACTTGAACAGCGTGCCAGGCACATGAGTACGTGGTTCCCACAGTCCCAGCGGGATGGCGAAATGTCGGAGACGAGGTCGGGGCGTGACCATGCCCCACTCTGGGGTGATTTCTCCCTGGCTTCCCTGTCACCCATCTCGTGCACATGTCTTCTGGCAATTAAAAAAAAAAAAAAAAGGCCTCGAGGAAGTCTCCAAGTTACTGTACTGCTCTGGATTTCGTCATATGAGCAGACGTGGGGATGATGCAACTTTAGTTGACTCTTCCCTGTCCCTGATAATGTTAAAGATATTTGATGACAAAGCGATTGTACTCATTTTTATCTCTGTTGTATCTAAGTGCACACATCTTTCTCTGTGCCAAGCCTTCTCCCTTCAGGAGTTTCTTGTGCTCTAAACATCAAGGAGGCAGGGGCTCCAGGTGTGTGCTGGTTAAGGTGCTGGACTCCCACATGGCCAGCCAAGGACCTGGTGGCTTATTTTCTTATTCTTTTTTATCCCTCCCTTCCTCCCCTCTCTCTCTGGTCAAATGGAAGAATAACAGTAAATAAATGATTTTTTTTTTTTTTGGAGAGGTTTTTGCTATAGGGCACATGTACTCGCTAGAAAGACAGAGACAGACAGAGAGACAGAAAGCCAGAAATCACCCCCCAGGGGGGATGGCCACGCTGCAATCTCTTCTCCATTCTCCTCTCGGAATCTTGGGCACGCACACACATGCGCCCAGCATGAGTTTAAGCCACTGGTCCGGGACTCGAACTGCTGTCGGCAACATGGGAGTCCAGCGACAGTCACTACGCCACCTACTAGTCCCATAAATAAATAAAATTAAAGAAAAGAAAAAAAATCAAGGAAGGGCTGGGCCAGCAGGTGGCATGGTGTTAAGGCATTGGACTTCCATGGGGCCAGTCACAGTTTAAGTCCCAGACCTGGCAGCTTGAAAATCAGACTAGGTACTTGTGCGAGCATGCCCAAAACCCTGAGAGGAGAATGGAGGAGAAGGGATTGCAGCATGGCCTTCCCTCCTAGGGGGTGACTTCTCACTTTCCCTCGCTATCTCCCTCTTTATCTGTCTTTCTCCAGCGAGTGCATATGCTCTGTCACAAAAACAGAGACAGGCAGGGAGGGCAGGGACCCTTTAGGAAGGCTTTTTCTGGGCCCTGCGTGTGTGCCGGTGCCCGGGCTGATGTTCTCTCCTGTGTCCTGCCGCAGGCGGGTGGAGCAGCTGGTGTTGTACATGAAAGCGGCGCAGCTGCTCGCTGCCTCCCTGCATCTCGCCAAAGCCCAGATCAAGTCTGGGAAGCTGAGCCCGTCCACAGCAGTGAAACAAGGTATGGGAGGAGAGGCGCGGTCAGCAGGGAAGCAGCAGGCGCTATGTCTTCTTTTTCTGGAGGAAAATTAAACTTAGTTCCCATCTTGACTTTCTTTCAGTTGTCAGAAATCTCAACGAGCGATATAAGTTCTGCATCACCATGTGCAAGAAACTTA